GGTGTGCCTCCAGGCTTGGAGGGTTTGCCCTGTGTTGATTGGTTAACTGGTTGTTATGGCCCATAGGCCCTCCCAAGGTGGTTGATATGCTTTCTAAGTTATTGTCGTGTGCTTGTCTGTAAAGCACACCCAGGGTCGTAAAGCATAGCGCCACCAGCTAACTTCTGATTGGTTCCTTGTCAGGAGACAGGCATCCGACTTTCTAGTTTCTAGGACAAGGTCAGAGAAGCACATGTTGGACTGTTATGGCTGCCGAAAGGGAAGCTGGTTCCTTCAACTGTATCTGGAGTAAACATTAAAATGAGTAGTTTTCACTGTGTCCAGGGTAAACATTAGAGTGAATAGTTGTTTTCTAGAAGAACTTTGACCTTGAAGAATCATTGTGGAAAACAATGATTTGTAGAATTGTTTTTCTGAAGGGGCATTGTAGGCTTCAAATGACTTCGGTCACAAGATGCCTCTGGCACACCTAAGGCTCTTTGGATTATTGTGTGCTACAAGCGATACACAGTAAAGGACTAAAGTCATGAGGACTTGTGATGCTCTCCTTTAGAGAGACAGATAGATTAGATTAGGGACCTTGGTAAATGAGGGGGTACTTTACCCCCAAAACAACTTTCTGTAACAACTAATAAATTAGCCTTTGTATGGCTGTTTGGGGTTCAGCTCATCAGAGCTGCCACACAGACCTTAAAATTTCATCTTAGAGAGACCTCTTTCTTCAATTAACCCACGAAACATGGAATACCCGGAAAAACTGGCCTTGAACGTTATGATCCTTCTGCCTCAGCTTCTTGAGTCTTGAAATTACAAGCATGAGATACCATATTGTTCCGCTCTAGAGGTAGTAGGACCTGAGAGAATGGAGCCGATAAATGAGGCAGACTAAAAGTCTCATACAATAGCCAACTTTATTCAGAGCCTCAGACAGTTTATACTCTGAGGGTTAAGAAAAGAAATCGCATGGGTAAAGTTCCCATGAGTTCATGCGGTATATAATCATAAGAACAAGCCACTTGTGGCAAAAACAAACAAACAAACAAAAAACATGTTTTTCCATACAGGCATATAAAGGATAGTTAAACATTTAATTGAATAAGAGCACCAAGCAATAATGAGTAATCTGAAGTAAACTCACTGCTATCGCTACACCTGGGAGGAGCACAAAAACACATTCCAAGAACAAGTCCATGCTTTGAAGAAACTGAGGTCACAAGACTTGTTTTCTTGGAATGTTCTCACAAGCGCTCAGAATCCTCCTCACATGGCTCCATTCCTGGACTGTGTTCCGACACCATGCTTGGCCACTTTATTTATTTTTAACGAGAAACCCACAGAATATTGAGTTACTGTTCCCTTTTGTGTAGTAAGTTTATTTACTGTGATGGCGGCTAACACTGTCACTGTCACTGGCAGCTTTAAGTCATCACAGGAAGATTAAACATGGAGCCCACTTCCTCCTCCAGTCCTTCTATGCTTGGGTCTCAAGTCTCATATTGTCAATCAAACTCTCATGTTCAGAAAATTACATTTTGAGGGAAAGCCCGAGCCTGCGTCAGAGCTACCTCCCTACATGAGAACCCCCATTCTCTTTCAAGTTGTCTCCTGTCATTCTTCCTCCCAGCATCCTGTCCCTGAACTTGCTGGGGAACACACGGACACTGAGTTCTCCTTTATACCAGAGTTCACTTGGCTGTTAGCGACCTTGTCTCTCTTGATACCACATGCCTAAACCTATTGGCTGGCATAAACCAATGTCCTGTTTTCACCTTTTTTGATGAACCAACCGAGAGCCATCCACAGGGGCCTGTACAAATGACAGAGCAATAGGCATGTCCAGGCCTGAGGGTGACATCAGGAGATGGCTTTTCCAGATGCTTATAAAACAGAGAAGAGCCGAAAAACAGGTTGTGAGAGTTCACAGGCCAATTAAACAGACGCTTCATCTCATCCCTTGTGTGGTTTTCCCATGGATATAGAAGCAGCTGTGCCTTCGTGGGTCACGTGCTTCCCCAGACACGAGGTGTGTGAGAAGGTCTCGGGAGCAGCAACCATGCTTGCGGAGTGTGGCCACAGGCATCAGTGATTCCTTTTCTTTAAGACAAATGGAAACAGTGGCTTCCATAAACCACACAATTCTACTTTCTGCTTTTTCTTTGTTTCACTAATATGATGTCCTTCACATTTATCTCTGTTGTCAAAAGTGACAGGATTTCCCTTTTGTCTAGGGCTGAATGCATTCCACCATGTGTACATCCAGTGTATCTATCTGTGCTTTGGGAAACCCTTAGGTTGACTTGGGACATCCAGCTTCCTCTTTCATTCACTACGTAACTTCCGTCTTCTCTCATCTCCATCAGTGTAGCAGAGGCTTCTCTAGTTGCTTCGTTCCAAAAATCAACTTTGATTATGTTGATTTTCTCTTTGTGTTTTTGTTTTCTATCTTATTGATTTGCATTCTGATTCTATTTCTTTCTATTAACTTTGATTTTCTTTCATTTCTTTGGGCAGAAACCTAGATATGTGTTTGTTTGGTTTTTTGGTTTTTCGAGACAAGGTTTCTCTGCGTAGCTTTGGACCCTGTCCTGGAACTCTCTCTGTAGGACAGGCTAGCCAGCTTTTGCTCTTTTCCTCTTCCATACATACATAGCCATGCAAATTGTGCTTGTTAGTTTTTGTTTTTCTTGTCAACTGCACACAAGCTAAGATCATCTCGGAAGAGGGACCCTCAATTAAGAAAACATCTTCATCAGACTGGCCTGTAGTCAAGTCTGTGGGACATTTTCCTGATTGATGATTGATGTAGAAGGGTCTATCCCACTGTGGACAGGGCCACCCCAGGGCAGGTGGCCTTGGATGACATGAGAAAGCAGGCTGAGCAAGCCTTGGGGAACAAGCCAGAGAGCAGCATTCCTCCATGGTAACCTGCCTCCAGGATCCTGCTTGAGCTCTGGCCTTGACTTGCCTCACTGACAGAGTGTGAACTGTAAGATTTTGAAAGAAGCCCTCTCCCACCTGAGTGTTTTTGGTCATGGTGTTTTATCACAGCAATAGAAACCCTAACTAATACAAAAAGTACAGTAACTTTCAAATTGTTGGTTATTGCCCGATCTTCCCATTGCTGATGTTTAATATAATTCTCTGTGATTGGTGGGGAATGGGCACAGTGTCCTCTATTCTTTAAGTGTTGACTTTTTTTTTTTTTTCTAAAATACGGTTTAACCTGGAGAATGTGTGCACTTAACTGTGATTCTATTGTTTTGGGAAGTAGTTGTTTTCAAAGTTCTTTATATCTTTTGCTGATATTCTGTCTAATTGTTCTGTCAGTTGCTGAGAAAGAAGAATTGAATTTTCCAACTTATAGCTGGCTTGGCTTTCCCCCTTGAGAACATTCTGTCAGTCTTCACTGTGTATTTGGCACTCTGTTGGTAGGTGTGTGGACATTTGCAATTGCTCCATCTTCCTTATAGCTGACTGCATTCTTATAAGAGTATTGCTTTGCCATAAGACCGAATTAGGCTTCCTTAATATAGATGACAATGATGTGACTGGGACAATATATGAGGTCACTGGAAGTGGGTCCAAGACCTAACACTAATGCACACACTGACTTAGTGGAGCCCATTCTGTATGGAGAGATACCTTGCCCAGCCTAGACACAGGGGTGTGGGGGTGGGGAGGTGCCTTGGTCCTGCCTCAAGGAGATGATGGACAGACTTAGTAGACTTCCTAGGGGAGGCCTTACCCTCTCTGAGGAGCAGATGGACGGTGGGGGGGGAGTGCAGGGAGTGGGAGGAGAGGAGGGGGGAAATGGGATTGGAATGTAAAAAATAAATTAATAAAAAATGAGAGAAAAAATGTAAAATGTAAAAAAAAATTAAAAGAGTATTGCTTTTCCCTTGTTTTATATTGCTATTAAAAATCTCTTTTTTGGGGGGGTGGTATATTTTTTTCTGGTCTTTTCTTTTTATCACATTTGTTCTTGTGGGTCCCTGTGTCAGTTGTACAAGCTGCCTTTTAGGCGTTTCTGTTTGCTTGTTCATTTGAGACAGGGTTCCTCTGTGTAGCCCTGGCTGTCCTGGAACTCGTTCTATAGACCAGACTGGCCTTGAACTCACAGAGATCTACCTGCCTCTGCCTCTTGAGCGCCATTATGCCCAGCTGTACCATTTAAATTTTTATATTGATATTTAAAACTAGGTTTTCCATTCATTACTGGTGTTCTGGGAATGGATGTACATATTCAAAATTAGTTCAATCTACCTCACTTGACTTAATCCTGATACTTGTGTGTACTTTCTCCTGCTCCCATCATCATCATCATCAGATGGACCAGGTGGTTTTCTGCCCCGGGGCCCCTTGAGCTATTCTTGTCAAGGGTGGGTGGATGTCTCTTGAGTCTCCCCTCTCTTTAGACACTCCAATACTAGATCATCATCGAAACTGGGAAATGCTATGAATTCTGTCTTCTGTATATAATTTCTATTTCCCCCTCCTCCTTACCTCTTGGCCACAATTCAGTTCCAAATCTGATCACTTCTCAGGCAAGTTGTTACATCAGCCTGCAGTCACATTCAGCCTCCACATGGGCCCTGGAGGGAACACCAAAAAATGGAAGTCATGTATCATCACCACCTCCCCACTCCCCAGACTAAATCCTATGTGAGCTGGCCCCTATGACCGCTAAGACAACTCCAGATTCCTCAGCATCTGTCTGGGGTCTGCTATACCACGTGTAGTAAAAGACCATCCCCAGTGTCAGGAGGATTCCTGACGCACAATGTGGCTTCTTATGTTTGCTGAACAACTGGGGGAACGAATAATCTTAACACCATTCCAAATTCCTTTCTGTTATGGTGCAAGTTCCACCATCTTCCTGCAAACCCTGCTACATCTCTGAAAGCCTGCCAAATGATGGCCCCTCCCCGAGAGATACCCAACACCACTCCCACAGGGTATTTAAACTGTCCCCCAGAGAACAGACTTGTGAGTTTTCTGGTCTCCTTTTCCTGTTTTCTCTCTGGGGTGCTGCTGGAAGGCCATCCGGGAATGTTGTATCCATTAAACGTGGGCTTTTTCTAATTCGGTTTGATTTTTTTTTTTTTTTTTTTTTTTGGTTTTTCAAGACAGGGTTTCTCTGTGTAGCTTTGGAGGCTATCCTGGCACTTGCACTGTAGACCAGGCTGGCCTTGAACTCACAAAGATACACCTACCTCTGCCTCCCTAGAGCTGGGATTAAAGGCATGCACTACCAACGCCTGGCTAATTCGGTTTGATTTGGATTGCTGCATCGGAGGAGAGGCTTATTGGGGTATAGAAACTTTTCAGTTTCCTAATATTGTTCCTACTTTAGCCTGATGTGCATGCACATCTGTACACCCAGCCCGTAACATGGAAGACTTAGCTAGTGACATTTCAGCCTGGGATGTAGCCTGGGGTACAGAGTGAAACACTGTCAAAGAAAGAAAATCTTTATTCCAACTTTACCCACAAGGGGTGGGGCACCTATATTTTACCTCAAGACAGCTAAGATTGGCTCAGAGATACACGAGATCTTTCTCCCTGAAATGTCTGTTTAATGGCGGCTGCCATCAGTGACGGCATAGCAGTCCCTGGAGGAAACAAACATCAGAGTATATGCATACCCAGCTCAGCACACTCCCAAGAGTATTTGGTGGTGAAGTGGAGGCCACAGTACGGACCATGGACAAAGAGTTGGGATGCCAAGGACTAGAAAACAGCTGAGAGAGTTATCAAAGTTCTGCAGGACAGAGTGAAGGCAGCGGAGGCTCTGTGCCCTTGGGAGGAAGCTGGAAGCTGGGCACGCCTGCTCTAACCCAGCTCCCACGATGCAGTGTAAGGGGAGAGAAAGCTGTGTGTGTGTGTGTGTGTGTGTGTGTGTGTGTGTGTGTGGGGGAGGGGCATTTGAACTGTAAGTCTCAAACCCTGGCACAAATGGCTGAGGTGCCTATTTAACATAACAAAGTGGACCTGGCCGCCAGGTTCTCCCAGCATCCCTCAGACCCTACCTCTTACAGAGTATGACTGGCATATCCTACTCCCTAGCTCCAAACTCTCCAGCACAGGAGCTCTTCTCTATATAATCCAGCCATTTTGATTACCTGCCCGCTTTGTACCTTCGTCCTCTTGGTTGCTGCACATTGCTCTCCTCTCCTTCTCACTTAGTCTTCCCTCCTCCCCCCATGGCCCAGCTCAGTCTGGTCATGGCCACTCTGGATTCTGCCAGATGTCTGCCATAGCCTCTGGCTAGGCTCTCCCACAGATCTATAAGAAACTTTCACTGGGTGGTGGCGGTGCTCTCCTTTAATCCCAGCACTCTGGAGGCAGAGGCAGGCGAATTTCTGTGAGTTCGAGTCCAGCCTGCTCTACAGAGCGAGTTCCAGGACAGCCAGGGCTACACAGAGAAACCCTGTCTCTCCTCCACCATACCTGGGAGCAGTCATGTCCTTTACTTTTTATTTCTTTCTTTCATTCAGGTTTCTCTGTATAACAGCCCTGGCTGTACTAGAACTCACTTGTAGGCCACTTGAACTCACAGAGATCCGCCTGCCTTGGTGGGATTAAAGGCATGTGACACCACACCCAGCTGAGAAAGATGGCTGTTGGCCCTCAAGTTGCTTCTCTACATTCCAGCACTTTTCAACCAAGTATGTTGGCTATGGAAGCTATGCTCATTCTTATTTCTCGGTGCTAAGATGTCAGTCACTGAACTCTGAAGTCCATCATTGTAGTCTAAAGCTAGAGCTGAAGGCTGACTGTAGATTTACCTGTTGTTAGACCCTCAGAAAGCTGAGGCTTCCAGAATCTTAGCCCAGGACGGCGGCCACCCCAAACACAGAATGGAGGCGAAAGCTTGATGCAAACTGCATGAGGCTTTATTGTAGTTTTACGAGCTAACCCCATGTTAGCTCGGGTCTTTCACCCACCCGCCATGGCAGACGGCTAGAAAAAGACGGCTCCTTGGGTCTCCCAAAAGATCTTATAGGGCAGCGTAAGGGGAGTGTCTAGGGGTACGCACAGGCTTACGATTGGTGTGCCTCCAGGCTTGGAGGGCTTGCCCTGTGTTGATTGGTCAACTGGTTGTTATGGCTCATAGGCCCTCCCAGGGTGGTTGCTATGCTCTCTACAACATTGTCGTGCGCTTGTCTGTAAAGCACACCCAGGGTCGTAAAGCATAGCGCCACCAGCTAACATCCGATTGGCTCCTTGTCATGAGACAGGCATCTGACTTTCTAGTGACTAACTTCTGATGGGTTCCTTGTCACGAGACAGGCATCTGACCTCTACGTGACCAAGGCAGGTTTATGGCAAGCATGTGTTCGGCTGTAATGGCTGCCAAAAGGGAAGCCGGTTCCTTCACTGTCATGGAGGGAAGTGGTGACACCCTGGCCTTTGAACATAGAAAAGGCTGCATTGGGATCGCCAGAAATGGGTAGGAGTGAGCAACCTAAGAACCACAATTGTGTGGGTCCTAATTCTTCCATGCTTTCTCTCCTCCTCTTCTTTTTTAAAAATAAACTTCATTATGAAACAAAACTCTTACAAATAAATAAAAAAAAAAACACACCAAAGTGAACTCTTCATTGTTACGAAGTAGACTACAATCATTGCTCTGTTTTACTATGTCAACACTGGTGGCAGCATGTCATAGAAGTTAGGTTCTGTGTACAGGGGATTAATCATGATTGCTTGAGGTATCTTGACACCACAGTTTCCTTTGTCAGTATTTCAGAAAAGGCACATGACCCAGGTGTGGCCAACGAAACTGAGAGGACCTGTGTATGTGTGTGTGCCTGCCCTTGTTACCTGGCAGAATCCACTCAGGCAGCCCAGGGTTCCATGGGAACTAAGTCTGCACACAGGTGCAAAAGACCCTTTAAAAGACAGACCCCTGCCCATTTATGCTCTCTTTACTCTCTTTTTACTCTACTCTCTCTCTGCTTCTGCTTTGCTCTCTCTTCTCCCACCTACGCGCTCTCTCTGCCTCTCTATGGTGACCAGCCATGGTGGTCAGCCATTACCCCTGTTCCTCTTCTCTCTTAGTCTCCCTACTCTGCAGGGCCCCCATAATAAACTAGTCAATATGTCTCATCTTGCGCCTTCCCCTTTTTCTTCAAAAACATAACTGTGTGTGTGTGTGTGTGTGGCAGTTAGCTTTAGCGTGAATTTGCCTGTGTCAAAGAGTACAGGGCTATTTGACAAGATTACTGTGGGCACTAGATAAGACAGACCATTAAGTCAGTGTGAGTGACCCTCATATAATCAGTTGAAGGCCTGAACTGAGCAACAAGGCCAGCCCCAGAGGAAAACGAGATTCCTTTTGCCAGATGGCTACAGGCTGTGCCACTCGGCTTTTTCTTAGCTTTGGATATGAGTTGAAACTTTAGCTCTTCTTGGGTTTTGAACTTACTAGAACTACATCATCTGCTTTTCTGGGTCTCCTTCAGACCTTGGGAATTTTGAGCCTCCACAGTTATAAGAGCAGATTCCTTGGGACAAGTCTTTTTATAAGTGTGGGTTCTGTTTCTATAGGGCACATTCTGAGAAAGTATTCTCCATTGCAAAGATGCAGAGATGGATGCCTCCAAGGTCCTCTTTATGATTCTGTTATGGGGCCCAGCTCTCTCCAGCGAGGACCACTGTCTTCGGGTTGTAAGAGCACTCGCTGAGGGTGAGAGTTGTGCTGAGAATGGCAAAGGAGAAAGCTGGTATCTTTGGTGACATTGTTGAGTCACTGAACCTGCTAAGGGCCAACTTGGCCCAGGCTCCATGCTCTGTGAGATAAAACTTCTTGCTTAAAAAAGTGTGTTAGAATTAAGCAGGTATTGTTTATCAACAGAGAGAGCCAACAGTGCTAGTGGGGTGGATACTATATTTCAAACAAACATGTGTAGGCTGCTTCTGATTTTTCCAGAGCCCTCAGTCTACTTTTCTGTTACTTTTTTGTTTTGTTGATTGATTTTTGCAGGACTTCATGCCTGCTAGGCAAGTGTGCTACCACTAAGCCACACCCATAGCTGCATCTCTTTCTTTCTGAGACAGGGTATCACTACATGGCCTACCCTAGTCTGACACTAGGGATTCTGCCTCCAGATCCCGGGTGTAGGGATGCTGAGCACATGCCATTGTGCCTGGCCAGGGCCCTCACTGTAACAAGGTCCTGGTGAACTGTGTCCATACTGGAGTTTGACACATGAAGACATCAGTGACTCTCAGCTGTGTGTTCTGTTTCTTGGGTTTCTTGCTCACTGTGGTCCTCAGACAGAAGTTTGTGAGTGTGTGCTTATGTTTTCTAACCAAGCCCTTTGTTCTGCCTGATTCTTGGGCAGTGTGCTCTTTCATGCACCCAACCCCCCATTTTCCCACATGTTTCATGTTTCCTTCAAGACTCAGCCAAAGCACCAAAACCACGCCACTTGGAAGCTCCTGGCCTCCCTCACAGGCTGAACAGTATCCCATGTCATGTTTTGTTTTTTGTTAAGTGTGTGTGTGTGTGTGTGTGTGTGTGTGTGTGTGTGTGTGTGTGTGTGTGTGTGCTGTGAATGTGAGTGTTGTCTTAGGGTTACTATTGCTGCAATAAACACCATGACCAACAGCAACTTAGGGAGGCAAGTGTTTATTTGACTTACATGTCCCAGGTCACAATCTGTTGAAGGAAGCCAAGGTAGGAACTCAAACTAGGTAGGAACCTAGAGGTAGGAGCTGATGCAGAGGCCATGGAGTAATACAGTTTGTTCCTCATGGCTTGCTCAGCCTTCATTTTTGTAGAACCCAGGACCTTCAGTGATTAGTGGTACCCACAGTGGGCTGGCCCTTCCCACAGCTGTCAGATGCTGCTCTACAGGTTTGCCTACAGCTGGAACTTATGGAGGTGTTTTCTCAGCTGAGGCCCCTTCCTCTCAGATGACTCTTGTGTCAAGGTGACAGAAAATTAGCCAGCACAAGTGCATAGGGCTGGAGTTGCAGGAGATTGTGAGTCACTAGTGTGGGTGGCAGGGATTGAACTCCGGTCCTCTGGAAGAGAGGGGTTTGCTCCTAACTGCAGAGCCATCTCTCCAGCCCCTTATAGATTTACTTAGTTTTACTTTATGTGTCTGAGTATTTTGCCTGCATGTGTGTATATGGGTGTGGTACTCAGAGATGCCAGAAGAAAGCTTTGGATCCCCTGGAACTGGAGTTATAGATGGTTGTGAGCCACCATGTGGGTGCTAGGAATTGAACCCCAGTCCTCTAGAAGAGCAGCCAGTGCTCTTAACCACTGAGCCATCTCTCCAGCTCAGTGTCATGCATCGTTCATATGTTTTCTTATTGGACCCTTCAAACAGAACCTCTGTACCCTGAGAGAAAACTATTTTCCCCTCTTTGTATTTTTTCTATTCCTGTCTGGTGCATGAAACTTACTAAGTAATTTTCGAAGATGAAGTGGGCACTGTGTGGCTGATCTACTCCTTGCTCCCATGCCCTCCCCAAAGGGACTCCGGGTCTTTTGTGGAGGCACTGCTGTGGCAGGAAGCCCAGAGGGATTAGGGAATTAGGAGGCCTGCTGGTAGCAGCTGCTTCTCCCATCTTGCCCTGTGGCCTCATATCCCCAGAGACCTGGGTGAAGAGGCAGCTGAGAGCTCTTCCGCCCCCGCCCCACTTCCTCAGGAACAAATGTCACAAGCCACCCAACAGCTGAGGAAGAAATGCTTTGGCATAGAAGGGAGCCTGCCAATTTGAGATCCCAGAACTGCAAGCTCTTGTCTAGGCCTCCACCTGTGCAGGAGCTCAGCTGCAGAGGCCGCCCACAGAAGCCCCACTCTGGCCACAGTGGAAAACAAGCTCAAAGGTAATGAAACGTAACCCAGTGTGAAGGCCATAATGGCATCCACTAGAGGCGGTAAGTGGCCAAGGGATGATTTATGATCGGAGATTTCTCCCTTGCTAGATGTAATGCACACCATTAATATACTGAAGGTTTTAGTAAAACTAGATGGCTTTGGTTTGGGATGAGTGAAGATGGCTGGGGAAGCAGTCTGAGGGTGTGTGGGAGAGAATAGCCCAAGCCTGAGCCAAGGAAGCCTGCTTGGCAGCAGAGGTGAGATGTGCTCATTTCCCAGAAGGCTGAGGCCTGGGCTGCTCTCCTCATTAGCAGGGCTTCTGCCTCATTTGGTGTGCACGCGTGCTCTGTGCACTTGGGAAATCAATTCCTGAGTTCAGGTGCCCCACTCCAGCTGGTGCCTGCCTGGCCCAAGGGGCAGATGGAGTAATGCCTTGTTCTGATTTCAAGAAAGGATCAGAGAGAGGATTTAACACAAGAAAGCCACAGTGTCTGTCCCTGAGAGGCCACAGAGTTACACTCCAGTGCGAGCCACTAGAAACGGTGACATCACAATTCATTCATTCATTTATTCTGCAAATGTTTACTCAACTACTCATGTATCGGGGGCTGGGGTCTGTGGTGGGCCCTTGGAGCTCAGATCTAAAGTCCAGCTCCTGTCCTCAGATGGCTTCCTGTCCAGGCAGACATGCCTCTGATCCCAGGCGGTCAGTGCTGTGTTCAATAGAGCATGTGCAGAACATAAGGGGACAGCTAACCCAGACCAAAGGCAGAAACAAGGTGCCAGCACAAAAGGACACAAGCAGGAGAGAAAGCAAACATTCTTAGCGCCAACAGTGTGCCTGGCACCCACCTCTAGATGGGGACCAGAGGCTCATGTAGGGGCTACCAGAGCCCAACTCGGGGCTACATTATCCCCACTCATGCCAGAAACAGAGGAGGGACCCCCAAGGCCATATTAGATACATTGTTTTAGACCCTAAATTAGATGCTTTGAGATC